AGGGTGAGTGTGCACTTAGATCTGTGGAGACAAAGAAACTTTGTCCTTGGAGGCAAAGAGGGGAATGTATGAGAGTAAGTTTTTACCAACGCTCTTATATGGGTGTGAAGCAGGGGTGATGAATGTTGCAGCGAGGAGAAGGCTGGAGGCAGTGGAAATGTCATGTCTGAGAGCAATGTGTGGTGTGATATAATGCAGAGAATTCGTAGTTTGGAAGTAGGAGGAAGTGCGGATTACCAAAACTGTTGTCCAGAGGGCTGAGGAAGGGTTGTTGAGGGGGTTTTCGGAATGTAGAGAGAATGGAGCAAAACAGAATAACTTCAAGAGTGTATCAGTCTGTAGTGGAAGGAAGGCGGGGTAGGGGTCGGCCTAGGAAAGGTTGGAGGGAGGGGGTAAAGGATGTTTTTGTGTGCGAGGAGCTTGGACTTCCACAGGCATGCGTGAGCGTGTTTGATAGGAGTGAATGGGGACAAATGGTTTTTAATACTTGACGTGCTGTTGAGTGTGAGCAAAGTAACATTTATGAAGGGGTTCAGGGAAACCGGCAGGCCGACTTGAGTCCTGGAGATGGGAAGTACAGTGCCTGCACTCTGAAGGAGGGTGTTAATGTTTGCAGTTTTTAAAACTGTAGTGTAAAGCACCTTTCTGGCAAGACAGTGATGGAGTGAATGATGGTGAAAGTTTTTCTTTTTCGGGCCACCCTGCCTTGGTGGGAATCGGCCAGTGTGATAATAAAAAAAATAATAATCGTGTCCACTCATTACTTACCTTAAAATATCTGTAGTTTTAATGTAGAGTGAGAGGTGAGTCGACAAGATTAAATGAATAAATGAGAGAGAGAATGAGAATGTAGAATGTTCACGAGTTATGTAAACAAACGCTGTTGTTGTTGTTGTTGTTGTTACCAGCCCGGACACGAACGATTCCTGTTCACTGTCAAGCCGACCAGAAAAGCATCTCATATTTGTTAATTTATATGTTATGTAGCATGTTTATTATATAATTTTGAAAAAAAAATCATAGATGGATTAAGCAAAATGTCTATATTAACGTTTTATACACATTTAATGCCCCTCAGTGATTATTATTGTTATCATTATTAATATGGCATCTTCAAGATCAAGTACACTCTTAATGAGTGGCTCTGAGACAGACAAGCAGACAAAAACAGACACAGAGGTAGACAGAAAGACAGACACACAGGTAGACAGACAGACACACAGGTAGACACAGACAGACACAGGTAGACATAAAGCCAGACACAGGTAGACATAAAGACAGACACAGGTAGACAGAGACACAGGTAGACAGAAAGACAGACATAGGTAGACAGAAAGACACACAGGTAGACAGAAAGACACACAGGTAGACAGAAAGACAGACACACTAGTAGACAGACAGATAAACAGACACACAGAGATACAGACAGACATACAGGCAGACAGATACAGACAGGTTTATGTGCAACAGTGAAAACAAATAGAGTTCGAGAGTAAGAGCCTTTCTTGCCACAATCTCCAGTGCAAGATTCAGACTTCATCTTAGGGGCCATGGTGAAATTTACTGTCCAGTTAGTACAGTTAATACAGTATGATGCTGCTGATAGGGCAGGGTTACTCAAACTGATGCTGCCTGCATGACACATTGCCGCCGCGAGTATTGTCAAATATTGTACAGCGGTGTGCACCAGCCGGCCCAGCCCAGCTGCCAGATGCACGGTCGTAAGTCGAGTGGACGTATGTCGAGCAGGTCGTAAGTCGGATGGTAGGTGTATTAGTCAGAGGGTTGAAGGGGTTGTTGAGGTGGTTTGGTCATTTAGAGAAAATAGATCAAAGTAGAATGACTTGGAAAGCATATAAATCTATAGGGGAAGGAAGGAGGGGTAGGGGTCATCCTCGAAAAGGTTGGAGGGAAGGGGTAAAGGAGGTTTTGAGGGCGAGGGGCTTGGACTTCCAGCAAGCGTGTGTGAGCGTGTTAGATAGGAGTGATTGAAGACGAATGGTTTTTGGGACCTGATGAGCTGTTGGAGTGTGAGCAGGGTAATATTTAGTGAAGGGATTCAGGGAAACCGGTTATTTTCATATAGTCGGACTTGAGTCCTGGAAATGGGAAGTACAATGCCTGCACTTTAAAGGAGGGGTTTGGGATATTGGCAGTTTGGAGGGATATGTTGTGTATCTTTATATGTGTATGCTTCTAGACTGTTGTATTCTGAGCACCTCTGCAAAAACAGTGATAATGTGCGAGTGTGGTGAAAGTGTTGAATGATGATGAAAGTATTTTCTTTTTGGGGATTTTCTTTCTTTTTTGGGTCACCCTGCCTCGGTGGGAGACGGCCGACTTGTTGAAAAAAAAAAAAAAAAATTCAAGGAAACCGGTGATTTTTACGTAGCTGGACTTGAGTACTGGAAATGAGAAGTACAATGCCTGCACTTTAAAGGAAGGGCTTGGGATATTGGCAATTTGAAGGGATATGTTATATATCTTTATACAGTGGACCCCCGGATTACGTCGTCATCGGAACACACCTACCATCCGACTTACAACCTGCTTGACATACGACCACTTGACTTACAACCATGTTTTTTTATGCCAAATTTCTGAGAAATAAACAACTGTTTGTGTTGTACACAGTGGTTATCCTAAACCTTATGGTATAAAATACAGTACTAACAGCATAAAAAGTAAAGTAAAAATTAAAATACCAAAATAAAACAATAAAATAAAATCATTACAAAAGTGTGATGTTGATATTCAGTAGTAAGGTTCGACTTACGTCCATTCTGACTTAAGACCGGATGGTCGGAATCAAGCTTGGTCGTAAGTCAGGTGGTACCTGTATGTAATATTCATAATAAGTAATGTTTTGTTGTCAAAATATTGGCTCAGTGATTGTCACTGAACTCAGTATAAGTCATTCATCCGGAACATGTCCGCGTGGTCTGAGAGGCCCCAACACTCCATATACAGCCAGTGTGCCACTGTTTATCAGCCAGTGAGGACGATCCCACGTGTTCATACAGTGTTCATCCCAGTGTTTTTCGTGCTTGTAACTGCAAAGTAAGTCACAATGGACCCCAAGAAAGCTTCTAGTGCCATCCCTGTGGTAAAAAGCACGAGAATTAGTATGGAATTGAAAAGAGAGATTAAGGAAATCTGTGCAAAGTGGGTTGAACTACAAACCTTTGCGGATGAAAATCACCCTGACACAGTTACTGCAAGCCGTACTGGTGACTATTACAATGACAATGTTATGGCCCATTTTAGGAAAGTCTTAAAGGAACGAGAGGTACAGAGCTCTATAGGACAGATATGTTGTGCGACAGAGGTCCAGTGACTCTCAAGCTGGACCTAGTGGCATTAAAAGAAGAAGGGATGTAACCCCAGAAAAGGACTTGCTACCTAACATCCTAATGGAAGGGGATTCCCCTTCTAAACAAAAACAACTTCCACACTCTCCCCTCCTCCCATCCCATCAATCATCACCAGATCCTCAATAAAGGTAAGTGTCATGTACAGTATTCTATTCTTAGTAGAGTAGTATTAACTGTGCATGTCTTCTTCAGTTTGGGTGTATTAAAATTAACATTTCATTTGGTAAAAAAAATTTTTCAGACTTTTGGGTGTCATGCACGAATTAATTTGATTTCCATTATTTCTTATGGGGAAAATTAATTAGCCTTACGATAATTTTGGCTCACGATGCGCTCTCGTGAACGGATTAATATTGTAAGGCAGGGGTCTGGGGTCTACTGTATACGTAGTATAACACATGTAAGAAAAACAAAGATAAAATCAGCAAACAATATAAGCAATGAACACAAAGTCCAAGAAAATACAATGAAACAACAGCCCTTCAGAAGCATCAAGGCACCTCTGCCCCCTGGCCCCCACCTTGAAAGGATTGGATGTAGGGAAACTTGCGTGATAAGTAATTTACTAATATTTCTAGATATCGAAATACAATCACAATGTTTAGAAACTATCACTAATCCTATTTGTGTGAGTAACTAGAAATGCTCTTGTTAACAATAGCTGGCATACTCACACAGTCTATTAGTTAAATACAAACTTCACATAACATTCAGGATAATTCAACGAACAAATATGTTACAGAGGAAACATTCTTAATTATCAGTTAAAATTAAACACACACACATGCACCAAATTATTGCTTACACTGTATACAGAATAGATACTAGTAACTCATTTATTTACACTGCTCTAAAGACAAAGACAAACAATGTGTACATTTATTAAAGACAAGAGAAAGGCAAGAAAATATGAAGAGACATTCAAAAGAAACAACTCAATTTCCTTATCAATAGTTGCAACACAAGTGATCGTGTAAACTGCTTTACTCTCAAAACAGGAAAATTTAAGAAAAAGATCATGAAAGTATTAATTCTTGTTTTAATTCAAGTAATAGTACTGACCAAGAGGCCAATGACCCCTGGCATCAACAATAGGTAATAAGACCTGTATACAGACTAGCTTAACACTGTCATACATGAAGGCAAGATTTATGAGAAGCAGAGCAGTTTATTAGAGTCTGACAACCAAATATAATCATAACACAGAATTATATCCACATTTAAAAGAGAAGTCTGAAGAGATTTATGACCATATGTTGGCATAAGTAGTGAATTTATTCAGTTGAGATATAAAAAGAAAAAAAAAACATTCACTGCAAACAAACATACACAGAATCTAAACCAGTATGAACAATAAAAGGTCAACACTAATTAAACATTAGTATCACTAGGCCCTCTATAATCAATATTGGTTAAGCATCATCACTGGTCCTTCAATAATCAACACTGGTTAAGCATCAACATCACTGGTCCTTCAATAATCAACACTGGTTAGGCATCAACATCACTGATCCTTCAATAATCAACACCATTAAACACAAGTATCACTAGTCCCTCACAAATAAAATTCTGTACTGGATTAGAAAATATTTTTTTAAACTTAAGAGTATGACAAATTTGACTAACCTCAGGGGTTTTGTCAGTTGCAATAGCTTGAGCCACCGCTGCTTCTGTTTCTTCAGCAACATTTTCAACATGGTTCTTGCTTCCTGAACGTGTCAATACTGTCTGCCGAATGTGCTGAAAAGTAGTGGAACCATAATATAGAGTATTTAGTGCCTGCCATTTTATACCCATTGTTTAGTCTATACCCAACTTTGTAAACAAAACATTAAGCTTCAAAATTCAGCTTATATTCCTCTATTATTGTATAAATACATTTACCAATACACAACTTATCAACATCAGTAAAATAGTGGTGTGGTATTGCAAAATATATAAACAAAATGTAATTCATAAATAAATTGCATACTAAAATATACGTCTCACATTTAATTATTACCAAAACTTGCACAATATAATGGCAACAGAATATACACCAGTCATTATTTCCCTTTTATCATCAATTTTCTGAGCAAAACTTGGGCAACGTGGTTAATTATATACAGTACCATAATTGGATAAGCACTTTGTGCATATAAATTTCAAGTAACCTTTCCACTGTCCACAACCCCAAAATTAATATTGCTCTGTGTCCTCATTTAAAAAAAAAATTCTGAAATGGTAGAGACTTGTTTTTCTGAAGGCAATGAAATAAAAAATATGAAATTTGATGTAAAACTTATGGAATTATGTAGGCAGAAAGTTAGTGGTCTGGGCACAATTTAATCATCTGTGATTTTGCCCATTTGTAGCTCTATTTTAAGCCAATGCCATTGCTCCATTCGACCAAATTATTAGCTATTTCACTAGTACGCCTGCCATTCTTTCAATTAAGCACAAGAAACCACCCATTCAACTAGTAAAACTACCCTATAAAGTGTAGAGATGGTAATTTGGCCAATTTTACACAATTAAAAAAAGTCCAATTTGAAAATAAGTCCAAAATAAACAATGTAGGATTTCTAGGCACTAAAACAACATTTCTTCTGTTTATTAATCATGTCCTCAGGCTTCTCCTATATTACACTTTCCTTCCATTTTGAATTCAAAGGCATATAAAAAATCGAAGATTTACCCTATTTCTCAGATAATAAATAGAACTGGATGTGTAGGGAGGCCCTACAAAACCTCAGGAAAAAATAAAAAATCAAATATTTCTACTATTTCTAGCCTAATTTCAAACTGCTTCTGGGTCTAAAACTAAACAAAATCCTCTCTATTTCAGTAGTTTATCTTCCATTCTATCAACTTGTACCAAGAAACAGCCAATAAAATCATAAAAACCATCCTAGAAAACACCTCAAATTCACTGATGTAAACTAAACACAAAGTCGGAGTTTTTCTTTTCCCATCATGCATCGCATATGGGCAGGATATTTCTGACAATGTGAACATAAGAACATAAGAATGGAAGAACACTGCAGAAGGCCTACTGGTCCACACACCATACAGACCCATTTTCTTATATCTAGGCTAAAATTTACCATTCACAGCTTATCTGAAGGAGCTGTGCTAAAAACATAGACCTATGTGAGGGACCCTGGCCTCAATAATGCAGATCTATATGACAGCCACTCAAAGGGTTAAATACACAGTGAACCCTCGTTTTTTGTAAGGCTCGAATGTCGTAATTTTCAGAAATCGTACCGTTTTTTCATCAAAACATTGAATCGCGAATCGTCGTTTGACTCGTAAATAGTCATTCGTCTGAGCCGCCTCACACTCCATTCCCAGCCAGTGTGCCATTGTTTATCAGTGAGTGAGGATTATCCCATGAGTTCATACGATACATTTCATAATATTCCATTCGTTTTAGTGCTTGCAACTGCTAAGTAAGTCACCATGGCTCCAAAGAAAGCTTCTAGTGCCAGCCCTTTGGAAAAGAATGTGAGAAACACATATAATTTAAGAAAAAGTTTGTAGAAAAATATGAAAGTGGTGGTGGTAGAGTGGTAGCAGTTGTGATAGTGGTAGAGGGTGGTAGTGATGGTGGTAGAGGGTGGTAGTGATGGTGGTAGAGGGTGGTAGTGATGGTGGTAGAGGGTGGTAGTGATGGTGGAAGAGGGTGGTAGTGATGGTGGTAGTAGTTGTGATAGTGGTAGAAGGTGGTAGCAGTTGTGGTAGTGGTAGAGGGTGGTAGTGATGGTGGTAGAATGTGGTAGTGATGGTGGTAGAAGGTGGTAGTGATGGTGGTAGAAGGTGGTAGTGATGGTGGTAGAAGGGTGGTAGTGGTTGTGATAGTGGTAGAGGGTGGTAGTGATGGTGGTAGTGATTGTGATGGTGGTAGAGGGTGCCTTCTTCAGTGATTCTACTAACTCCTCCAATGTTGTTGGAGTTATACAGGGCTACTAAAAACATCGGTGCCTCAACTGCTGCTTCACCACCATTATGGACGGCTTATGCTCGCAGTGGCCCTTATACACCCAACAGCAACACAACACCTCTCGTGACATACATAATGACTTATTTTATTCATTCTAGAGTATATTCCATGTTTCTATGTTATTAATATTGTTTATTATGTCATATTAGTTGAACTGTGATAGATAAATAAGCCATAGAGTTGATATTAGTGTTATATTCTCCAACTAAACTCGCCTCCCCTCCCTCTGCCCCATCAGCCATACACAAACAAGAGTCTTCAATAAAGGTAACTGTGATGTTAAATGTTCATTTATACATTTTATTAGTGCTTTACATTTATTTGGCATTCTTTTCTGCACGTAAATCTATATTTAAGCTAGGGAAGTGACCTAGAGTCCTTATGGAGGGGGATTCCCCTTCCAAACAATAACCTCTCTTCCCTCTCTCCTCCTCCCTGTCTTCCATTCATCAACAACAACCTTCAATAAAGGTAACTGTCATGTTGAATGTTCATTTTTTTTGTGCATGTAAATCTATCTTTAAGGTAAAAAAAAAAAACTTTGTTGATACTTCTGGGTGTCTGGAACGAATTAATTGGATTTCTTATGGGGCAAATGGATTCGCAAATCGTCAATTTCGATAATAGTCACACTCTCTGGAACAGATTAATTACGAAAAACGAGGGTCCACTGTAATACATTTACAAGGACAAACCAACAAAATAAATATATCCCTAGTGACCTCCTCCATGGAGTTATCAGTAGTATGTGTGGACAAATATATTCCCTTACTTGAAGTTATATGAGAACGGATTCCGAAGTCCTGAGGGAACCACAGACTACCCATGAAAATGTTTCGACCAAATTACAAGACTATAGGGTATCTAGCAGCACCTGGTATTTATAGAAATTGGTACAAAACACCCTTCACTTAGTGACCCGAGAAAAAAAAATATATCAAATTTCACATGGAGCAAACCCGAACAGCTCCCAACTTGAACAATTATGTAAGTGTATTTTTGTAAGTGAATTTTTGGGGGTCTGAAACGGACTAATCTAATTTACATTATTCCTTATGGGAACAAATTTGTTCGGTATCGACACTCGAACAGCCTTCTGGAAATAATTAAGTTCGTAACTCGATGTACCACTGTACGTGCATGTACTTTTCCTATTAAATCCAAATATACAAAAATATTTCAGCTATGTACAGAGTAATGTCATAAACATAATTTAGTAAAAGTCAACTAAAATGTCAGGGCTAGTATCCCCTTTTCCCGTATAACTTACTAAAAAGAAAAAGAAGAAAAAGTAAATGCTAGGGTGTTGGGGAAAGGGGTGGGATTAAATTATGGGGAATCAAATACAAAATGGGAGTTGACACAGTTACTTCTTGCTGATGATACTGTGCCTTTGGGGGATTCTAAAGAAAAATTGCAAAGGTTAGTGGACGAGTTTGGGAGGGTGTGTAAAGGTAGAAAGTTGAAAGTACACATAGATAAGAGCAAGGTGATGAGGGTATCAAACAATTTAGATAAAGAAAAATTGGATATCACATTGGAGAGAGGGAGTATGGAAGAAGTAAATGTTTTCAGATATTTGGGAGTTGACTTGTCAGTAGATGGGTTTATGAAGGATGAGGTTAATCATAGAATTGATGAAGGAAAAAAGGTGAGTGGTGCGTTGAGGTATTTGTGGAGACAAAAAATGTTATCTATGGAGGTAAAGAAGGGAATGTACAAAAGTATAGTGGTACCAACACTCTTATATGGGTGTGAAGCTTGGGTTGCAAATGCTGCAGCAAGAAGGCGGCTGGAGGCAGTGAAGATGTCCGGTCTAAGGGCAATGTGTGGTGTAAATATTATGCAGAAAATTCGGAGTGTGGAAATTAGGAGGGTGTGGAGTTACTAACAGTATTAGTCAGAGGGCTGAAGAGGGGTTGTTGAGGTGGTTTGGTCATTTAGAGAGAATGGATCAAAGTATAACGACCTGGAGAGCGTATAAATCTATAGGGGAAGGTAGGAGGGGTAGGGGTCGTCCTCGAAAAGGTTGGAAGGAGGGGGTAAAGGAGGTTTTGTGGGTTAGGGACTTGGATTTCCAGCAAGTATGCATGAGCGTGTTAGATAGGAGTGAATGGAGATAAATGGTTTTTGGGACCTGACGAGCTGTTGGAGTGTGAGCAGAGTAATATTTTGTGAAGGGATTCGGGTAAACCAGTTAGCCAGTAGGAACCAGTTAGGAAGTACAATGCCTGCACTTTAAAGGAGGGGTTTGGGATATTGGCAGTTTGGAGGGACTTCTGAACTGTCATATCTGGGTGCCTCTGCAAAGACAGTGATTATGTATGAGTGAGGTGAAAGTGTTGAATGATGAAAGTATTTTCTTTTTGGGGATTTTCTTTCTTTTTGGGTCACCCTGCCTTGGTGGGAGACAGCCGACATGTTCAAAAAAAAAAAAAAATAAATCTTGAAGCATTTTTATTTATCCATTTTTGTGTAGAACTTTTCTTGTTAAATACTTTACCTATAGTTTATGTTGATATATTTATGCATGCAAGTTTTGTTTATATATGGCTTTTGCATGCCTTCCACATCTGGCTTCCTAGTCACCAAGTACTGTAGTCTGCATTTACCAGTAGAATACAAGGTACCTTCTTATAGTCCACATAATATTGGAAATACTGTAGCAATAAAACTAATATTTACCTACTTTATTTTTATCTCCATTTTAAGATGCAATAATTTTATACTTTATCTGACTTTTCCTAAGTATTCTGAAATGTACTAGCCAAGACTGCCCAATTTTTCACACATATCATTATGTCTTCTGTGCAGGGAGTTGGCAAGTGCTTCACATACATGGCAGCCAACCAACATGCTGAATCATATCTCTTTGGTTTTTTGGCACTCAAAAATATTGGAATTGTCATAAAATAAACAGAAAACATTAATTGTAGCTAAATACAAGAAAGAAAGAACATACGCTTGACAGAGTGCAAGGCAGAGATCATGGAACAACCTCAAAGATACATTCCTCTCATGTAGACAATGTATTAAGCACAAATATCAAAAGAGTCCCTGGGAGTAAGATTAAATGATTATTACTGATGACAGAATTCAGCAAATAAGTGATAAATTTAGTATCTTAATATTCTTCTTGTGTAAATAAAGTTGAATCCTGAACAGCATGTTGCAGTTTTTCAAGTGACTTTTATCCCTGAATTACACAATGATTTACAAAAATATTTAATCCAAAATATCAGTCATGCATCAGATATTATGCCAAGGAAAATTCCTGGCAAAGACTTTCATTCAGTCGCATGAGTGACTCGCCCACATCTATGTTTAGAGTCAACACAATATAATGATGACACCTTGTGAGCTGTTGCTTCAACTCCCACAACTGCTGAAACACTCATGGCAAACAGTTAATGAACAATACTGTATTCAAAACAAACTTTAAAAATAAGTGGTGTGTAGTGTACTGTATACAGTTAGCTCCAATGCCTGTCACCATACTTTCTGCCCACATTTAAGCATGGAAAAATCTTTGTACAAGCAGCACTACCTCCACAGAGTGGCACCCTCCAAGCAAGAATGTTGGCTTAGTCTGAGCCTCTGGCACAATAAAATAATGACTTGTGAGTATACTGATACTGATATCCAACATACTCTACTGCTGCTTGACAACAGGAACAAATTAATGTCAAAGAAGATGAATTTCCTATTTCTACATGAATATTCACTTGATAAAAAAAAAAATTTCCATTATACTGTTCTGCATGGAACAACTGTATGTATTACATTATTTATTTTAATAGCTTTTAAAAGCTATCTCTACCATTCATTTCAAAACTCAACTCTATCCTTTAACTGAATGCTATTTTTGAACATAAGAAATTCTCCAAGAGCACTTTCTTAGGTCAATTTTGTCTATCTTTTCTGCATACACACAATGTGAAAGAAAAATGGAACTGTGGGGAGTCAAAATATTCATGCTAGGTAGTAGGTTGGTAAACAGCAACCGCCCAGGGAGGTACTACCGTCCTGCCAATTGAACGTAAAACAGAAGCCTGTAATTGTTTTACATGATGGTAGGATTACTGGTGTCTTTTTTCTGTCTCATAAACATGCAAGATTTCAGGTACATCTTGCTACTTCTACTTGCACTTAGGTCACACTACACTTGCATGTACAATTTTATATATACACACACCCCTCTGGGTTTTCTTCTATTTTCTTACTAGTTTTTGTTCTTGTTTATTTCCTCTTATCTTCATGGGGAAGTGGAACAGAATTCTTTATCTGTAAGCCATGTGTGTCATAAGAGGCAACTAAAATGCCAGGAACAGGGGCTAGTAACCCCTTCTCCTGTGTATATATTACTAAATTTAAAAGGATAAACTTTTGCTTTTCCTTTAGGGCCACCCTGCCTCAGTGGGATACGGCCGGTTTGTTGAAAGAAGAAATATTCATATACCACTACTACTGGGGTGGCTCATGGCCTGGTAGGCAAAGCTCTCACTTCACACACTGAGGGCCCAGGTTCAATTCCCAGCAAGGGTAGAAACATTGGGTACGTTTCCTTACACCTGTTGTCCATGTTCACCCATCAGTAAAATAGGTACCTGGGTGTTAGATGACTGGTGTGGGTCACATCCTGCGACAAAACTGACCTTATTTTCCCTAAATGCTCTGCATGACAAGGGGCTTTCTATATAGTATGCCACTGATGTAAGTTAGGCCTGTATACCTTGTACATGTACTTGTAGAAAATAAAGATATTACAGTAGACCCTCCCTTTCGTGATTAATCCGTTCCAGAGAGTCTGGCAAAATGTAAAATTCATGAAAACTGAAACCATTTTCCCCATAAGAAATAATGTAAATCCAATTAATCCATTTCAGACCCAAAAGTATAAACAAAAAATGCATTTTATAGAGTATAACTATATTCCACGGCTTATTTATCTATCGTAATTCATCTAATATGACATAATAAACAATATTAATAACATAGAAACATGATATATACTCTAGAATGAATAAAATATGTCATTACGTATATGAGGCGTCGTGGTCGTGTTGTTGTTGTTGAGATTATAAGGGCCACTGAGAGCATAAGCCCTACATATTAGTGATAGTGGAGGCAGCAGCAGAAACCACCAACACTGTTCACACAAACAATGTACATAATTTATAAATAAGAAATACAGTGGAACCTCAGCTTACGAATGCCCCACCATGCGAATTTTTCAGGATACGAACAGTCGATCGATTTTTTGCTTCTGGGTACGAACGAAATTTCAGGATGCAAACTTCCCCCCTTAAGGGAGGTTCCTTGGTGAGGGGCTCTTGGCCAAGGGAATTGGATCTGTGCTCCACTTCCCTAAATTAATAATAATGGGAGACGGCCGACTTGTTGAAAAAAAAAAAAAATTATTATTATTATTATTATTACAGTGGACCCCCGGTTAACGATATTTTTTCATTCCAGAAGTATGTTCAGGTGCCAGTACTGACTGAATTTGTTCCCATAAGGAATATTGTGAAGTAGATTAGTCCATTTCAGACCCCCAAACATACACGTACAAACGCACTTACATAAATACACTTACATAATTGGTCGCATTGGGAGGTGATCGTTATGCGGGGCTCCACTGTATTATTATTATTAATACATATGTACTAATAATAATAATACACCGCAGCAGGCCTGTTAGCCCATACTAGGCAGGTGCTTCACAATCCATCCCACTAACAGAATATTTGCCCAACTCAATTTTCAATTTTCAATTTTCAATTTTCAATTTTCAATTTTCAAGCAATAAGCTTTGATAATTCTATTTACTCATGTGCAGGTCCCACTCACATCCAACCCCTCTCACTCATGTATTTATCCAATACAAATTTGAAACTACTGAAGTTTTAGCCTCAATAACCATACTAGGCAGATTGTTCCACTCATCAACATAAGAAAGGAGGAACACTGCAGTAGGTCTGTTGGTCCATACTAGGCAAGTCCTTCACAGATCCAACTCACTAACAGAATAAACGTACCCAAGCAATAAGTGTTGACAATTCTATTTACTCATCTTGACTGTGTGCTAATGGAGTTACAGGAAGCTGACATCGAAGAAATGCTGAACACCAACAATGATGCACCTGTTGTGCATTCCTTGAGTGATGGTGAAATTAGATGAATTGTGATATATAAATAAGCTGTAGAGTTATTATTAGCATCATATTGAAGTATTTTGTCATGCCTCCTAAGAGCAGGAATTCCGCTGGAATGGATTAATGCCATTTCAATTAATTTAAATGAGGAAAATTGACTCAACATACGAACAAATCGGAATACAAACGAGGTCACAGAACAGATTAAATTCGTAAGCCGAGGTTACACTGTATTTATATTTTAATTTATAAATAAGAAATATTTACACTCTATAAATAAGAAATGTTTACACTTACTGTACCTTGTAGATGCTGGCACTGGTTTAGGGTGGTGGAAGATAGGCAGGGCAGCATATGTTTGTCAGTGGCCCTACATACCTCCAATAACATTGGAGGAGTTAGTTTCGTTTCATCCTTTTTCTATTGTTTAGTCGTTTAACTTACTTGCTACAATGTTAATGCTACACTTTATCACTGGCTAGTGCTACAGCCTTTATCAACTTCTGCTGCTTTGGTATCATACATATTGTAGAATCACTGAAGAAGGCACATTCTCCTCTCTCTCTTCCTCCTCCACTTTGGTACTTTGCTACGAGTTTTTTCTTGAATTCTATCATGTTTCTCACCTTCTTTATCAACAGGCTGGCACTAGCAGCTTTCTCTGGGCCCATGGTGGCTTATTTAGCAGTCACACAGAATAAACAAGTGCAAAAAACAATGATTATGAAATGTTTCCTATGACCTCGCAGGATAATGTTCATTCACTAAGAAACAAAGCGACACTGCCTCAGAATGCGTGTGTGGGAGGCTTTGTGTGCACATGGCACTTGGACAGGTACTGTACCACCGACGAGAACGGAGGAAAGTAATGAAAACTGAGCCAATATATTTTTACGAAAAAAGTCGACGATATTCACAAAAACGGAGCCCAACAAAGAGGAAGGGTCCACTGTATTATTATTATTATTACATTTATGTTGCTTTCCTGGTTATTATTATCCATGTAATGAAAATATTTTCTGGAATACTGTATAACAAGGCCTAGGCTGTTTGAATAGTATATTTCATACCTAATGTCCATTAGCTATGATCTCGTATATACTGTAGATTTTAAACAAAAAAAATAATTAATAAATTATAAAACTATATATTTCTCAGATTGCAATCAAATCTAATAAGTAGGGTCACCCAATATATCTGAATAGTGAAAAATTGTTTGCAATATCAGGAATATTTCCTAGTTATTGCATTTTGAAACACGTTCTTTGAGGTGCCAAGACACTGGTATCTGCATGTAATAAAACAGACGTGGGCTACACGTACAGTACTATCTTTAAAAGAAGAAAAATACAGATATGTAACAAACCTGTTTGAGAAGATGGTGATCCAGAGCATGCTTGGGATCATACTGGTGGGCGGAAGGATGACCATGAGGCAGGAACGTTGGAGGCTGACCCTGCAGCACTGGGTGACCTAAGGGAAGTGGTGATGAATGTGTTCTGCTCAATGGTCTCTGAAGGGGTCGGCCGGGTCGAACCTGCAAAGGATGATGATTATTATATTCATGGGAAAGCACTAAAACTAAGGGTTAAACAATGTCTAGGGAATGAGGAGTGAGGTTAATCAAGTTTGATTCAAGGAAGGAGATATTTTCTCCAATTCCTTGGATCAACAAAGTAATGTATCCTGAAATTAAAAAAAAACAAAAAAAAAAAAACCAATAAATTTTCAGTGACAAGCTTTACTCATTATCTCTACACTTTTTTACATGTTCATAATACCTGTATCTTTGAATTTCTTAAACGACATAATCAATGTAGTGTAAATTAACTACAGCATCTTGTTATCCTAAACAGATCTGCCCTGAGCAACATTAAAATATTAATTATTCTAGGATAATTTACAACCCACACATATTACTTTGCTATAATATTATTTTAAAATTTTTACTCTTTTTTCATGACTGTTCCTCATTAAAATCATACTTCACATTTTACTTAAACTTTTTTGCTTAATATAGGATCACAACTTCTTTGATGGCAGAGAATATGTAAGTCATATTTGGAACTAACAAAATCTTGCCCATATTTATCATATACCCTTCTGAAAAATGGTTTTCCTACAACTTATATAATTATTAAAGATAAATAATAGACCTGTGTGTCATTCATGTTGGGCACAGCATTTGGGTGATAAATGCCACCCCGCATGATGCCACCGCCAGAACTGGTGTCCATGGCAGTGACCTGCTGTTGCCGGCCCATGCTGCTCGCAGCTGGGCCATAGCCTTCTCCATCAATCACTGCAAGAAAAAACATTATTTTAAGTAAAAGTGCATTTATAATGTCTTCCATAAATTAATTATATTACTGTATTATTATTATTATTATTATTATATTTAGGGGAAGCATTAAACTCATAGGTGTCATACAGTGCCTGGGAAATGGGAGGTAATCAGGTTCAATCCAAGGAGGAAAAGTCCAATTCTTTGCATCAAGAGCTCCTCACCAGCATCAAGCTAACTTCCTTGAGCTGGCATGAATAATCCTTCCATATTTGCATGTGGAATAAAACAAAATTTTTATTTTATATACTTTTTTTTTTTTTAACAAGTCGGCCGTCTCCCACCGAGGGAGGGTGACCCAAAAAGAAAGAAAATCCCAAAAAAGAAAATACTTTCATCATCATTCAACACTTTCACCTCCCTCACACATAATCACTGTTTTTGCAGAGGTGCTCAGAACACAACAGTTTAAAAGCATATACGTATAAAGATACACAACATATCCCTCCAAACCACTAATATCCCGAAACCCCTCCTTTAGAGTGCAGGCATTGTACTTCCCATTTCCAGGACTTAAGTCCGGCTATATAAAAATAACCGGTTTCCCTGAATCCCTTCACTAAATATTACCCTGCTCACACTCCAACAGCTCGTCAGGTCCCAAATACCATTTGTCTTCGTTCACTCCTATCTAACATGCTCACGCACGCTTGCTGGAAGTCCAAGCCCCTCGCCGACAAAACCTCCTTTATCCCCTCCCTCCAACCTTTTGAAGGACGACCCTTACCCCACCTTCCGTCCCCTACAGATTTATGTGCTCTCCGTGTCATTCTACTTCGATCCATTCTCACTAAATGACCAAACCACTTCAACAACCCCTCTTCTGCCCTCTGACTAATACTTTTGGTAACTCCATATCTTCTCCTAATTTCCACACTCTGAATTTTCTGCATAATATTTACACCACACATTGCCCTTAGACAGGACATCTCTACTGCCTCCAACCGCCTCCTCCCTGCAGCATTTACAACCCAAGCTTCACACCCATATAAGAGTGTTGGTACTACTATACTTTCATACATTCCCTTCTTTGCCTCGATAGATAACATTTTTTGTCTCCACATACACCTCAACGCACCACTCACCCTTTTTCCCTCATCAATTCTATGATTAACCTCATCCTTCATAAATTCATCTGCTGACACGTCAACTTCCAAATATCTGAAAACATTCACTTCTTCCATACTCTTCCTCCCCAATTTGATATCCAATTTTTCATGATCTAAATCATTTGATACCCTCATTACCTTACTCTTTTCTATGTTCACTTTCAACTTTCTACCTTTACACATACTCCCAAACTCGTCTACTAACCTCTGCAAATTTTTCTTTAGAATCTCCCATAAGCACAGTATCATCAACAAGAAGTAACTGTGTCAATTCCCATTTTGTATTTGATTCCCCATAATTTAATCCCATCCCTCCCCCAAACACCCCTATCATTTACTTCTTTTACAACCCCATCTATAAATATATTAAACAATCAGGGTGACATTACACATCCCTGTCTAAGACCTACTTTTACCGGGAAGTAGTCTCCCTCTCTTCTACACACCCTAACCTGAGCCTCACTATCCTCACAAAAACTTTTTACAGCATTTAGTAACTTACCACCTATTCCATATACTTGCAACATCTGCCA